TTTTCGAGGCGAGGTGTCCGCCATATTGGATTTACCGTTATACTACCCCTTGGGATTTCAACAGCATTTTTCATACCAAGAACGGTTTTGACAGATAGGCATATATATATACTTATTTTAAGGGATAATTACTGAACATTTGTATATAATTTTGATGGATGTACTCGGTTTTATAAGGAAATTGTCGCTTCTGCAATATTTCACAATCTCCGCTCCTTGCGTTTCCGCCATGATATTTGTAATATAGACTGTAGTAAAGTGACGAGGGATATCGAAGATAAAATTCCTACCATGTATCCATTTCTATTACATGGACAAGCACGATAAAATTACCGTTCTTCCGATGGTATAAAAGTTTGACGAAATTTTGGCGCGGCGCGAAAATTCAATTGGAGTTATCTCCCCTTAGCTTGGGCATAGCTACTTTGGTGTACTTTGAAAGGACTGATCTAAATCTCTCTGCGCTTTCTGCGCACACTACTATATCATCCAATTGGTTCCACTCGAGCGATGTTTTGATGAAGGAGGAGTTCTTTTATGCTTTCTGACTGTTTGTATCCTGGTATGATTAATGGCCTTGAGTTGTTGACAATGTTCCTGTTTAATGTTGCTGATGTTTCATAGTTCCACATAACGCTTTGTGTTTGTTTTTCCAAGTCCTTCCAGAGTGCTGGATTATCTGATCTGAGGGTAGGGCTGGTATTAACCCCTCAACTACTTTGTACATGAATACTAGCTGCTGTGATTTCCTTCTGTTTTGTAAGGTTGGTAGTTTTAGCATTTCTGAGACACATCCTTCATCCCGACTTTTGTAATTTCCAGTAATTAGGAGAGCTGCTCTCCTTTGTATTCTCTCTAGTTGTTCAATGTCTGATTTTAGATGATCATGAGGGTCCCAAATAATACTGACATAGTCGAGAATTGATCTAACAAGTAATATATATATGCTGTTTTCTTACACTCTTTTGGGCAGTGTTTTAAATTTGTGTTCAAGGTTTTGTAGGTCATTTTGGAGGATGTTATGGTCATTGAAGTTGTCTTGGAAAATTATGATTGCTGAAATATAAATATATACCGAAACAACTTAATACAGGTACCGAAACGACTTACAAAAAGTACCGAAACATCTTTTTGAAGTACCGAAACTACCTGGTACCGAAACGACTTCCCCATTGAATGTTCTGATTTGTCGATACAAAATGCAGTTGTAGGCGAAAAGGTGTACTTGTGATTTGACTGAGTTTGGTGGGTCATTTATGTGGCAGAGGAAAAGGATTGTCCTAGTACCATCCCTTGAGAAACTCTGGAGGCAGTGGAAGAGGAAGATGTGTCGGTAGTCTCAGCACTTGTATGAGAAAACAATTATTAACAACTTCATGAAGATATACCTAGTTTTAATTGTAATGTATTTGTTTCGTTACTTTCGTTTCCAGGAATCATGTAAAAACATGATTTGCTCATGACATGAACAAAAAAAAGCAGATCGCATACTGTACATAACAGTGCTTCTTAAGCTTTGAGTTGCTCAAATGTTATTTACTTTTAAAAAGTTTTAGAAAAAAATTTCATGGATTTGTCTGGGTACTGACAAATTGTGGAGATCATAGTCGCCCAAGGAATTTTTTTATTTTTCTTAAGATGTTAAAATTCTGAAATAAACTTTAGGCATTATTGCATTAGGCCAAAAAAGTATAGTCTGTTTAGGGTTGCATTGGCAAAAAAACTAGGGTAGGTTGGTCATTTTTAGGTCACCTGAGCTTTAGCTCAAGTGACCTATTGCTATGCGTTTTCGTCCGTCGTCGTCCGTCGTCCGTTAACATTTTACATTTCAAACTTAGAGTCAAGTTCTGCTGGGCCGATTAAACTGAAAGTTGGTAGGAATGATCGACTCATGGTCCTGACAAAGTGTTGTTATTTTTCGGGTCAATCAGAAATACAATTTGGCTGCCATGGCCGCTATTTTGCTACTAAGTTCTAATAGGCCGATCTCACTTAAAATTGGTCTAGGAATGATCAGCTCATGGTCCTGACAAAGTTAAGTTAACATTATACTATTTTTTACTCAAATTGGTACATATTTCAACAACAAAAATAAATACTGTAGACTCAGGTGACCGTTTAGGCCCATGGGCCTCTTGTTTTTGTTTTGTATATTTTTGGTCATGTGATTATGACCCTACTATTATTGTATGTAAAACAAAGAATTACATCAGGATAAACAAGGTTCATTTGGAGGCAAATTTTGCTCCATATGATGACATTGACATTCAGCGCTAACACGGAGCTGGAAGCTATTTTGAAAGGCAAGGAACCTTCTAAAAATCGAAAATCAGAGGGTTTTTAATTATTTTATTTTTTTCATCAAAAAGTTTTGGGTCGGGGGTGAAAGCTAGGGTTGGCCGGGAACCCTAAACAGACACCTTTTTTGGGGGGGCCTTAACATAATATTTCATATAATTCATATTTGCCCAAAAAAACAGACTAGACATTTTAAGGAAAATAGCCTATAGTTTTGGAATAGGTCCATTAAATAATTCAAAGTAAAGGAGGTATATAAAGTATCAAGAAATGGACTAGCTGCTGTAGGATGCCTTCTTACTTAGTTTGTTAATTGTCTTGAAATGGTGAAAGTTGTGTGTGGGTATCTACATTTTGTTATGTATTATATAAACAAAAGTTAAAATAATAATCAGGTTTCTACTAATTGTTATCCATGTTCCGATTAATACTTTTTTAAATTCTAGTATACTTTAAATATTTCTATGCAATCATGCTGTGTTGTGATATGTATGTATGTAAAATATAGATTTAGAAATATTTAGATGTACTGTACATGTAAATTGCATGTCTAAGTTCCTGTCCAATAAAATAAAAGGAACACTTGTAACTAGCTTTTACTTTCACATTTTAAACATGAAGTCAAACATGACTTGCGATCAAGACTCCTTGTTTGGCTGTGGCATCATCCTGAAAAAGAAGTGGAGTCGTAAGTATGAAGTCTCCTGCAGGTTGTAGGAGGGTAACTTGGTCAACAAAATTCATGTACATCATCTTGGAAGGTTTTGCTCAACTACTAGATGTCCCTAAATTAACTTCATTGCAGCGAATGCTTTTACATTGTGTATGATATTTTTTCAATAATCTGATGTCAGTCTAATAAAAAAAATATTACAACTTCCTTTAAACTTGGCATTTTTACACTTGACATTTTTACAGCTGGTTTAGGAATTATCTATAAAAATGCTTAACATATCAATTCATCTTCAATAAATATGCAGTTGATTTCAACTACTGAAAGCTGACTCTAAACTTAATGTTCAACACAACGACACTGGTATTTTTCAGGTAAAAACAACTCAATCCAGTCTGCAGGCAGAATGGGACTCCTTTGAGAAAATGATTGGAGGGGGGAATAGTCAGGACACTGTTTCTGCCCTTGGAGCGACAGCTGTGGACCCAGCCAGTTTTCTCCAGAGTGGTGTCATTGCCTACCCAGGGGTTGGCAAACCAAGGACAAGGAGCTTCACTGAGAGCAGTGGTGATGAACCAAAATCAGCTGATTTAAAGTTGCACTCAGGTCAGTATGTGTTGCAATGTGATTAAGTTAAAAAGTTTACGTAAAACTAACTGCTGCAAATTCATTAATATTTAGCTAGATAAGTTATTTTTCTGAAAAGATGGAACAAATTCTAGAAAATACATTAAAATGCCTCAGCTTACACATTACTTCCAACAGAAACTTAAGCTTACACATTAAAACGGGTTTTATTGTTTTTATTTTTCAGATACAGCAAACAAGATAACATTCTCCTTTGAAGAGGTCCCGGAAATGGGTTTGCCGTCAGAGGTATAGTCAGAGTATTAGATATGTAGCCTTAACCATCATACTGAAGCTAAGGGTTGGGGGTGCCAGAACAGATCCTAATATGAATATTAAATGGTGCCTGAAGATGACATCTCCATCAACTGCAAAAAACATTTCGATCCTAGAGACTGTTTTTTTTTTAACTGTAACAATAAAAGAGTATGTTTATGCCATTTATGGTAAATCTTTATCTGCTGAAAATATCTGAAGCTCTATAAATGAAACAAAACTACTGGATTCTGTTTCTTGTTTGTTGGATAGAGCTGCCATGATCAGGTTTGATGGAAATGCAAAGAATTACTGGGAGCTTTCAAGTTAATCATGTGCTAAAAATCTGCTTTCATGTTCCCTTCGAAAGGTCTACACTGTAATCTAAAGCTAACTGAAATGATATTTCAAAGTTTCCTACATGTTCAGGAAAATGTAGTTACTTTGTGAAATGTCGGACAAAAATGGATAAAAAACTTAGAAGATGGAACAGATTTTACAGCACTTTATATTTAAGTAGAGTGTGGTGATGTGAGAAAACTTGTGGGTTTTACATGTAGTTATGGGTTTATGAGAGATTAGAGTTCTGTTAGATTGAAAGACAATATTTCTTCGAGCAACCCTCATATTCAAAAGTTGACTAGATAGGGTAAGATAACTGCCCCAAAAAGAAGGCAGTTTTTCTTCAATAATCTTACCTACTACTTGTGATATCAAATAGGTTTTCCTGTGAATCCTGCAAGTGGAGAAAAAAATGGGCAACAACAACAGTGCTTGTTTTGTTGCCCTTCGTTGATGCTATCAGCGGGTAAGTAGAGGAGACGGTTACAGTAGGTACAAAACAATTTGTCAGAGATGATTATCTATATCATGGTGCTAAAGGCACCTACTGGTGTACCTGTGCTTTTATTTCAAAGAATATTTCTGTGTTGTGACATGTAGACAAGTTCTTGTTCGCCTACCACGTATAAATAAGAATCTTACATGCTAGTCGTGATGTAGTTTACGTTTATTTGAATAGTTCAGTGGCAGTGTTAAATGCACTAAAACTGGTAAAAAAATGTCTTGTTTTGCTGTAAGAATGAATTTTTTAAATCGGGGTTGTGATATTAAATTAAAATTATGTTACATGTTTTTTAAGTGTTCTTACTGTCTGTTACAAAATGTATTCTTCCCTTTAGACTAAGCACTTTGTAATATTTCACTTGATGTCACAATTTTGTGTAATTATATTTTCTACATGAAAAGTCATTGATTTTTCTCACCTATTTTTGGAACAGAAACTATTAATTTGGAAAGGACCAGATAATAATTTATATGAACCTCTTGTAATTCTTTAATTCTGTTTCAATTTAACACCAATATTTATTTATGCAAAATGCAATGTATTTCATCCCTGTTAAATCATGTAAAGTGAATCCATATACTTTTCAATAAAAAAAATCATTAATAACTCCCAGCATAATATCTACTAGCCTTGGGCTTGGGGCAAGTGTAATTGTACACCCCTGGCCCTATTTTTGCATCGCTGAATCTCATTTTTAGAAATTAGCAATTTTTCGGTGCTTTTAAGGAAGACAAACTTTAGTAAATCACATGTAATGCACAATATTTAGTCTTAATGCATAAAAATGCATACAGAAAAAAACCAGTATGTCTTAACATTATTGTGTATGGGTGGTGCATTGTGTATGGGTGGTGCAGCATAGAAACCAGGTATTACACTACATGCATGTAAACAGGAACTTGGATAATAGGATCATAGTCATCACATATATTTTGTATTTGGATATCAGGAATATTAAACCATGATCACTTGTTAAAAATTTCCTTTTAGTATCTTTAATGACATCCTTTGATTTTCTTTTAGTTTGCCTAGCTGCATTCTAATGCTGGTACGAGTACATATGTTTTCTTTTCCTTGTATATTTTGCTGTCATATTGATTTCATTTGTGTTTGTTTTCAACAACAAATTTGCCAGTGCTGTTGACATCATTTCTTAAACTTCCCTTCTGGGCGATTCGATAAAACTGATTACAAATCTATTTCTTGTAAAATTGTTGTTCTGTTGGGTATTGTGCTCATGCTCAGAACATTGCTGATTTCTTTTTCCTTTTCTATGATTGAACACATCTGTCATACATTTCTTTTGGATCTCAAATGTGATTGATTTGAAACATTTCCATAATAAATAGTGTTTTCCCTAAGCATGAATAGTATAGCAAGGTGTTTAGCTGGATGTCATGTTTTCAAGCAATGCAATCAACCCTTCCCTTCCCATTGAGCTTGCCTCACCTGTGCACATAGTAACCCTCAAAGCTGAGATAGGTTTGTAATTTAATCAATTAAATCACACAGAAGCCCAATGATGACAGAGACTCTGTCCACGTACAGATACTGAGATAGGCTTTGTCTGGACTAATTTCACATTTTTATGAATTACCCCTCATTAATTTGTTGGCAAACACAGGCCAAACAATAGTTGTTACTGAAGCCTAATAGAAAACTAAAAATGCTTAGAATTATGTAACAATTAATGATATTAAGGGGCTGGTCGGGGGAAAAGTCATATTTGCTAAAATGGCATACAGATACACATGTTTAAAATACCTTCTTATGAAATATACCGATACAAATTTTGCTGAAATTCACTCCCTAGGAGTAAAAATTATAATTATATTAAAGAAATCCTAAATCGTCACCTGACAGTCTAAAACTCTCAATTGACCCAGATCAGTGATGTAATTTTACTGCACGCGCATCATCAACAAGGCCAAATGTAAACATTGCGGCGAAAGAAAAAGATGCATGCAAAAGTCATGAAAGGCACGAGGTATCAATACCGTTATATATAACAACAACATATAGGTTGGAATACTACACTTGCATCATACATGACCTTTGAAAACAATTATTTACGTATAGTATTGCTGTCTTGTCCGCTAGTTGAGTCCGACTTGGCACATGACGGCGTGCTATTATTGTTATCTTCACTGCCTCACTTTCGAAACAACCATGTGACATATATAAATAGATCTGCGCTAAATTTACGCGGGGCTTCCCCAACATTTCAGTGGTCAAAACTGGACATTGCAAGCAGAACTCGACAATCATATTGCAGTGGTATAACTTTTGGAAGGCCAGAGAACGCATTTAGACACATTTATTTTGGGGTTTTTTTCCCCGACCAGCCCCTTTAAGGATCACATTTGATGAAACTAGCAAATTGAAAAATGATTATAAAAAAAGTTTATTCTCTGACTGAAACACTATTTTGCCCCATGCAGGTTTGGGGAAAGGCTAGGCCCACTTAATCCAGCTGAATGATCTAAAAAGGCGACCAATGTTGGCCACACTGCAGCATCAGGGATGATTTCTTGTCTTCTGTCTTCAAGAATTGACCCACTGTATCCCACTGAAAGTGCATTTGTAAGAGGCGACTAATGTGGACCCTACATAATTTAATTTGCTGAGACACTTGTTAAATTCGTGGTCTTGATAATGTCCAGAAGCCCTTTTTGTATGTTCTGTCTGTGTCTGGCTTTTCTAAGGAAACATAGATAGAACCGTGGCAACACTATTATACCTTTTTTTGGAATATTTGTCTTGGATTTGCTCAGATTACACTTGCATGATGTCACTATAGTTGTGAAGTTCCCCAGTAGTTAGTCCTCAACCTATCAAGTGATCATGGGTTAATAATTTACTGAGAAATACAGGGACAGTTCCATTGCCTTCAACGTGTATTTTGGGGTATTTTGCATTTTTCAGCAGCTTATGATTTTGCTTAAATGAAAATGTAGTCTGTGTTTGATTTAAAACAATTTTGTATCGGTCAGAAAGGTCAACACATTATGTCTAAAACTAATTGTACAGATCTTCAAATCACTTTATCTGCAGGTTGTGCGAGCCTCTAGATCCAGATCTAGGTCATCATCAGCATCTTCAAGGTCTTCAAGTGCAACTTCCAGGTCATCATCTGCCTCTTCAGTGGATAGGAAGAAAGATGAAACAAAGGTCACACCAGCTCCAGCAGAGCCATCCAGGTCATCAACAAGTCCTAAAAAGAGAAGTTCAAGGTCAAAATCAAGGTCACCATCTTCCGGGAGAAAGAGAAAATCACATTCAAGGTCGAGATCAAGGTCGAGATCAAGGTCAAGATCTAAAGGAAGGAAACCCAGATCTCGCCATTCTCCTGGAAGAAAGGTTTGTTGTATAGTATTCTCATTTACTGATGCTGTTCACTAAAATACTGACAAAACAAGATTACACAGATTTGTTTGTCTTATATTTAACATTTGTTTGGTATATATATATATGGTTAATATTTCAGCAATCATAATTTTTCATTTCCTTCAAAGATATCTCAATGACACATTAAAGTTTTAATTAATGCTTCTAGGTTGGTATGCATTCTAGGTTAATTGATGTTTTTCCTTGTTAGTTGGATTTAGAAATAAAATATTGGTATGTATGTTTAAATTTCAGGATCGAAGCTCATCTAAATCCAGGAGGCGTAGACATGGACGTTCAAAATCACATGATCGTCACAGACGACATCGTAGACATGGTTCTAAAGAACGAAGGAGTCTCAGCAGGGACAAAAGCAGGCGTAGAAAAAGGAGGAGGAGCCATAGCAGAGACAGGAAGAAGAGAAGCAGTCACCATCGTAGAGGTAGCCACAGTCGGTCAAGAGGCAGGCGCAGGAGAAGTAAAGGACGCAAGTCTCGCAGTCGGAGTCGCAGCAGAGACAGACATCATCATAGCAGAAGTAGAGACCGACATAATCGTAGTCGAAGTGATAGTAGGGATCGACACAAACGAAGTCGGAGTCACAGTAGAGAACGACCAGCAAGGTCAGGAGAACTTGCATCAACTATCAGCAGCAGTAGTAGTGGGTATGGCCACAAAGATAAACCAATGACTTTCAAAGAGCAAATGAGACAACAACTTCTCAAAGCTAGCAAGATATTGAAAAATGGAGATGCCAAGGATAATGAATTACCAGGTTCGTTTCTTTTATAGCTTTTGAATATAGTGTATATATATGTACAGTGAATTTTATTTTGCCAAAATCACAGAGTGTAGGCCATGTGGCCAAATATTGGTTTTGGAAAGGATTTTTATAGACTTATCCTTTAGCCAAATTCTGTCAATGAAATATTTCGTGTCATGAATTATGAACCATTTGCCAAATTCTGTCAATAAAATATTTCGTGTCATGAATTATGTGTCAGTAATACTAGGGTTGAGACAATCAGTAAATCCCTGGTTGAAGACAAAATTAATCCAGATATTTGGGTCAAACACCGTGTGACATTCTGAATTCTGAGTTGGTAAATTTGGGTTTCACTGTAACCCAATACAGTTGATTCCACTGTCCAAGTTTAAATATGCTTGTCACATAGATGAAGTTGAACCAATGAATTTGACATTTAATGTTTAGTTTTGCGAACATCTATTTTACAGTGTTGTTCTGCCCAAAATTAATAAAACAAATCGTGTAGATGATATATTTGATGGGCACAGATCTCTTCAGTCAAGCATGTATCTATGGAAGATTTGAAACAATTTTTTCTTTTTCAGATTATTAAATGTCATACAAATACATAATTCTTGAAGTGTTCTGCCTGGTTTGGAATAATCCTCATTGTTTGCTGTCCTTTCAGAAATTACAATGGAGAAGCCAGGTCCTATGAATCAAACAAACATCCTGAAGGCAATGGCTGCATCTGTCAACTCGGCTACAGCATCCGGTGTAACTCCACAGATGGCTTTGTTACAGACTATGGCTGCCATGCACCAAAAGGTAAAGTTGCTGATTTTGATTGTATCGTTCACTCTTCAATGCTCACCAAATACACATTCACATGCAAACATAACTTCCTGTCACTAAATTCTGCCATCACAAATGATTACTACAGCAATTATATAAAAGGTATACTTTACCAGTACTTTTTGTAAACCAGAAGGAAAGTTAGCAGTCAGCAATTTTCTTCATTGGAAACGAAAATTTAAGACTGGAGACTTTGTTGGGATTATATTGATAAAATCTGAAGTATAATATTGATGTTTAAGAGAAATAAATCAATACAGTCATTCTCAATAGGCATCTTGATTTTTCAACGCCCCAAAAAATAGAATACACTGCATTGGAAACTAAAACGATTGTTGTTCCTTTTGTTGTAGGCTCAAGAGTTGACTGGTGTGACTGTTCCCAAGTATTACAATCCTGCAGCAGTGAACCCATTGAAGTATGCAGAACAGGTTCAGAAAAGGAAACTTCTCTGGGCGAAAAACAAGGATTCAAAAGATTGTAAAGAGGTTAGTCTTTCAGTTGAATGTCTAGTATTTGATGTCGAGATGAATACCTAAATTACCCAGCTGAAATTTTCCGAAACAATGTTAAGTTCACGATTCTTGGCTAGAAAGGCAAGAATTCAAGAGAACCAGTTACTGTTGCTATTGATTATTGATCTTAAAGTTAAAGGCTATTTAATGTCCAATATTCCTGATACAATTGAATATTGCTTCTTCATACCAAAATTAGGATTTTTTTAACAATACTATTTACAGGAATTTTCGCTGTAGTTTAATTTTGCCTTTTTTGCCCTTTGTAATAAGGTCAAATTTATCATTACAACAAACATTTTTAAACAACACAAATGTTCGTATTGTAAAAGCATAACATTTTGTTGGGGGATTTAATTTCTTCTTTCCTGGTTTTTAGAGAAACCAAGAAATATAATCTTGGTAAAATTTTAACCTCACGAAATATAGACCCCAAGGAAATTGAAGAAAGATTGGAGATTTCTTTTTTTAATATAACTGATATTCTGTTGTAAAAATCATTGATCTTCAATCCCAATGAATTTGTCTCTGAATACAAACCACAAAATTAAACCACTGACTAAATTAAATGCTTTTGCAGTAGTAATTAAATGTGAAGGGTGAAATCATCACTTGGCAAATATGAATTCTACTAGTAAAGGGTGAAAGTTAGGGAAATTTTTTGGGTATACAGTAGTTTTCATATTTTCATGCATGATTCAAATTTGTGAAAGTTAAAAGGTACCAATAGCAAGTACATTTGAAAGATGACTTTTACTATTTGAGCACAATATCAGCTGTTTTAAAAATCACACAAGCGTGTACAAGCTGCAACGTGCAGAACCTACCAGTTCATTCTCCCCACTGTGTGCTTATGATAGTAAAAAAGAGTGAATGTGCAAATGATTTCGTGTATAAAATTGGAATGGGAAACTATTGCAGATGCATAGAATTTGTTATTGAACATACAATCTTGTAGCTATCTTAGTAAGTAAGGGTTATTCCAGACTATAAAATTTGGTTGGTTAATATGCAAGACCACACACTGTTTTTCTAGCAAATCAGAAGGACAAAAACACGAATCGGAAAGCACAAGTTTATTGCGCGGACGAATGTATACGTCTGTGCAATAAATGAATGCTTTCTGATTCGTTTGAAAAACACAAGTGTGTGGTCTTGCTTTTATCACATACCTTCCGTATTTGGTAGAGATCAATACAAAGATTTCATAAACTTTGATATTTTTGTGCAAATACCGGGAACTTTTCAGTTTGCCATGACGAGGGGATTCCCATAAAAAGTAGTTCCGGATAGTAGGTCAATACAACATTCCGTATTGCACATGTGCAATACAGAACGCTGTATTTCATGGTCTGAAAATTGCTTGTATTACTTCAACAAGATTCAACAGGTATGTGATGAAGGTTGATATACAGGATGTTTTAATCAGTATTTCTACCTTTCTAGGAGGCAGCAATAACACCAACAGAAGGGGAGATACCAGCCACATCAGCTCACAAGGGCAATGAATGGCAGAAAACATCCTTTGCAGCTGACCAGGATGGTAAAATGGCTGCAAAATTCAGAAAGCTCATGGGAATGAAAGAAGGAGATAGTGATGAGGGCACATCAGCCGATTTATCTGAGGAACAACAGAGGAAACAGCAAGAACTTTTCTCTAGATTAGACAAAGAATATGAATTTGCTCGTATGTCGACACATACACATCGAGGTGTTGGACTAGGGTTTGCTTCACAACTAAACCCAAATTCTGGTGGCCCATAGCTATATAGTGGTATGGTGAAGGACATTTGCAAGTGATGGTGAATGTTTATGGTATGTGCGAGAAATAAAATGAGTGTGTTTGTGAGATATATCTGCTTTAATGTGCCAAGTATGTTTTTTGTTTACCTGCATTCCGAGAGTTATTTATAAATGTGAACAAGAATTTTTAAGATGATCATTATTCATGAAAAAATGATTTGGTGATTGAGAGTAAGAATGAGCAGGTATTTTGATTATCCACTTATAAATTCGAAGAAAATGCTGAGGAGTGCTTTTATGTGCATGGTTAGGTTATTTCCATTATTCAGATGCTAGAAAGTGCTGTAGACATTTTTTATGTAAAAATCTTTCGCCTCTAAATCTGTTTTCTGTGTAAACATAACTTGCCATTTGGACCTCCTATCTGAACTGTTTTAAGTTTCTGCATGCGATTGATGTCACTTGGTTTTACATGGAATTTAACCTTCAAGTGTTAAAATCTAAATCATAACGTTCAACTAGCATCACACTTATTTTTGATGGTAATAAAACTACATGTATGTCTCCTAATGGTCATATTAACACAAAAAGGAGCTTTGAATGTCATAAATGATAGAATTGGCTCCATGTACCGAGAGTGTCCCAAATCTGAACTATAAAAGTGTGCCTAGCTACAATATAATTCTACTTGAATACCATTCGGCGCGGTGCATCAGTAACTTTTTGTCGTGACGTGGTATTTTCTGCTGGTTAAGTTTTAAATGGATTGGCTAAGCGTCGGTTACACTGCTAGAGGTACCTAGTAGAATTTTTAACTTGCACTGTTTAAAAATATTACTATCTAAATATAAAGCTGCAGAGAATTGTTTGTCTATCTGTAAATACCATAAAATATTAAGTACTGAACTAGTGATGTAGAGTAAGATAACAATACTGCAATTGGTGTCCAGATGCTACACATGATGAAAGTTTGACCTTGCAGAAATATATTGTAAACAGAAACATGTATTAAAATACACATTTCCACCATCTTCTGTGTGATGTCATCATTTGCTGCATGCAAAAACCAAAATTGGACCAGACATGATCTGATTTTGAAATTGTTATAGTTTAATAACGTGGTACTAAGTGGATGTTATTTTAAAATGTAATCTGTCAAAATATGAAAGACAATTGAAAAACATAAATTCTGAAGGTAATTCCATTTTCACAATTTGTACATCATTCATTTCCAGTTGTTCAAGTACATATTCTTCATGTACTTCGATTTTTATGAAGTTATAAATAGATTTTGTGTTTTTCATTTAAGTGTGATGTTCATGTCTACATATTTCTTTTGTGTATTGTAAATGATCATGATTTTCAACTAACATTTTGAATGTAACTCGTAATGATTGTTTACTAATACTTGTAGAGTATTTGTTTAAGACTAAAACTGATGTTTGTCCTTCATTGGACAGCTTGAGTATATGCAATCAGAAATAATAAACTATTAGTTGATTATAAATGCAGTCTTTCTCTTGTGTTTTTCTCCTATGGTATGGTTATTTAGGATTTGTCAGTTGTACTATGATCAAAACAATGAACTCAATGTCAGAAATGCTAAAAACTCATCAGAGCTCGGAACCAGTGTGGAAATAAATCTTCAACCTTCAAGGATCACTAATTTTGTATATGGATAACACATTTTTTAACAACATGGTAACATCCAACGATGAAAAAATCTATACCTGGTATATATATAGGATCTTAAACAAGTTTCCATTTCATATGAGATTTTTATAAAACAAATTTTTAGGTCACCTGAGCTTTAGCTCAAGTGACCTATTGCTATCCGTTTTCGTCCGTCGTCGTCCGTCGTCCGTTAACATTTTACATTTCAAACTTAAAGTCAAGTTCTGCTGGGCCGATTGAACTGAAAGTTGGTAGGAATGATCGCCTCATGGTCCTGACAAAGTGTTGTTATTTTTCGGGTCGATCAGAAATCCAATATGGCCGCCACGGCCGCCATTTTGAAAACCTATTTCAAACTTAAAGTCAAGTTCTGCTGGACCGATTGAACTGAAAGTTGGTAGGAATGATCGCCTCATGGTCCTGACAAAGTGTTGTTATTTTTCGGGTCGATCAGAAATCCAATATGGCCGCCACGGCCGCCATTTTGAAAACCTATTTCAAACTTAAAGTCAAGTTCTGCTGGACCGATTGAACTGAAAGTTGGTAGGAATGATCGCCTCATGGTCCTGACAAAGTGTTGTTATTTTTCGGGTCGATCAGAAATCCAATATGGCCGCCACGGCCACCATTTTGAAAACCTATTTCAAACTTAAAGTCAAGTTCTGCTGGACCGATTGAACTGAAAGTTGGTAGGAATGATCGCCTCATGGTCCTGACAAAGTGTTGTTATTTTTTGGGTCGATCAGAAATCCAATATGGCCACCACGGCCGCCATTTTGAAAACCTATTTCAAACTTAAAGTCAAGTTCTGCTGGACCGATTGAACTTAAAGTTTGTAGGAATGATCGACTCATGGTCCTGACAAAGTGTTGTTATTTTTCAGGTCAATCATAAATCCAATATGGCCGCCACGGCCACCATTTTGAAAACATATTTCAAACTTAAAGTCAAGTTCTGCTAGGCCGATTGAACTGAAACTTTGTAGGAATGATTGACTCATGGTCCTGACAAAGTGTTGTTATTTTTCAGGTCGATCAGAAATCCAATATGGCCACCACAGCTGCCATTTTGGTAAACTATTTCAAACTTAAAGTAAAGATCTACTTGGCCGATTGAACTGAAACTTTGTAGGAATGATCGAATCATGGTCCTGACAAAGTGTTGTTATTTTTCGGGTCAATCAGAAATACAATTTGGCTGCCATGGCCGCTATTTTGCTACTAAGTTCTAATAGGCCGATCTCACTTAAAATTGGTCTAGGAATGATCAGCTCATGGTCCTGACAAAGTTAAGTTAACATTATACTATTTTTTACTCAAATTGGTACATATTTCAACAACAAAAATAAATACTATAGACTCAGGTGACCGTTAAGGCCCATGGGCCTCTTGTCTGATATGACATAATGGTCACCTATACTGGCTTCTGATTGGTCGAAATTCAGTTATTGTTCTATTTCAATCAAATTTGGTAAGTACATGTATTTTGGCACTGCGAACTCAACCGCGGCATCGGTTTTCTGATCTGACAAGAAGTCTTCGCATACTGGCTTCTGCATGATTGGTCAAAATTCACATTTATTTTGATTTTGCTCAAATTTGGTATGTACATGACTTCCATTCACCTATTTACATTTGTTTTTCTGAATGCGCAGTTAGTTTGGGGGACATCTGTAATGGCCGGCTCCCATTACAATTAGCACTTTTTAAACAAGTTTGGCAATACATCAACATGAATGTATAAAAGGCACAAGTATAAAATTCCGAACTTCGGCTCAAACTTACAATGCTTGACACATTGAATCTCATGCTCAAAGTGGGGACAGGCGAGACATATAATTACGCGTAATTCTTTTTTTTCAATAACCAGGATACCCATAATAATGATATTTGGCCAGTAGGTATCTGGGACAGAGTGCCATAAAGTTTCCTCAAATAAATGACCTTGACCTACTTTCAAGGTCTTTAACGGTTTAAAAGTTATGGCCCAGACAAGTTGCGAATGGAAGAACCAGGAGAAGAAGAACCAGTACTATTAATACAATATGTTTTCCTTCATTTGAAGGGGAGACATAATTAATGCATTCTCACTCAATTTCTTGTGCCTTAATTGTTATTCTAAATATTTTATTGATTTTTGAAGTTAGGAGTGGGGAAATTATTACCCCAACATTGGTACAGCTTTTAATTTTGTAAACTTCTCTCAGTCTCTGATGATTTATTATATTTTGAACATCAATTTTTTTCCAAAAATGCATTTTTTGGGGGGTTTAAATAAACCTATCTTTGCAGAAACTGAGCAAAAATACAAGAAATTGATCAAAAGTAGAACAATTGAAGACTGAAAAGACAACATATTTTAGAAGAAAATTTTATTTGTCAACTGTTTTTGCCATTGATGTCATACATACTAGGTATACCTATGAATAAGTGAAAACAGAACCAGAAAAACAATTGCACTAAATCAGATCTATAAACCAATAATGAAAATATAATATCTTGTAAGGAAAAATAACCAGATGCATTGCACTCATTGGTTAGTACATTGGATAGGTATAAGTATTGGATCTTACTCAAGTGAACAACATGCAAGCTTTGATCACTGCTTTGAAAATTGTCGCTTGGGGAAAATTTCTCAAGGCCCACAGCATATCTAGTTACATGCTAAAAATAGTGATGTAAGTGATAATACATTTCCACTAAAACGTATGCATGATTAGTGATTTCATGTGCCTTCCACCTCCAAATACTATAAGTATATTGAAGAAATAATTTTAAGGATGCATCGGCCAGATTTTTTTCTGTATTTCTCGCGAGTTTCCCTTGGAAGAATTCCTAACCAAATCAAGGATTTCTGATATATGTTTAGCCTTGGTATGGTCGACACCAAATAAGGTGAAAAATTGCTTACATTAAGAAGCACTTGCTCAGACTTGCCTTAATTCCCCCTTTGGCCGCATATATGCGCCCAGTTGTGTCACCATTTATTTATACAAAATTGAATCCCTTCATTACCAAGAGATTCCCTATTCTAAATTGACCTAATTAAATCATAGTCTTTTTAAGAATGGCCCCCAGAGTGGATTCATTTAGGAGGGGGTCAAGGTCAGCTAGGGGTAAACAAGCAAGTGTTAACATTTTCTGTTTGAAAATTTAATGGATTCATCTGTGTAACATTTTATAGGTAGCTAAATGCTCCTGACCCTGTATCACTTTTTGGACACTGCCCCTTTGCCTCCATGGGTGCCTAACCTTCAGTGATACACAGGTGTAATTCCTAGATGAATTAAGTTATGTTGTATCAAGAAAAGCTTTTCTTGATTTAATTTTCCTCTTAATTGAAAATTTATTAGCAGAATTTTTGCTACGTCAAAAAGTTACTTTTGACCTTTAGGCAGTGTCATCTAAAAACCAGAACTCACTTTATATGTTAATCACTGGGTAATGGGGTCAATAAAATTCCTATTTATTATACAAGTATATATACTATAGTAGTAGACTTACTAAAATGTTGTTCAATATATTTAACTCAAGGCACCAGGGAATGAGCTAATGCAGGGTTCTATTTCTAGCAAACTTTAAATATTATATAAACAAAAATGATAACTGTTCCATATATATTAACACCTTCAATAACTATATACTTAGATTAACTATAAATATATCACAAGGAATGCTTGATCAAAACGAGAACCGCTATTACTTAATTGAGCAACATTACAATGATACAAAAATGTATTGTAAAAAGACAATTTCCCAGTTATTATAATATTTGAATATAAATTTAAGTGTATATATCAAAGTACTATATCAAACATAACAACACAACCAACACGGTTATAATCATCAGATATGCACAAGTATATGACTTGTCACAGACCAGCTCATTAGATGAGATCAATGAATATATAATCTTTACATTAGATGATTTTCAAAAACTGCAATATACCATGTGAAAGTATTTCCCCAAAATAAAAATATTTCTACTACAGGAATTCTAGCTTCTTTGAAGCTGTTTAAGCTTTATCAGTATTTATTTTACATGGGAAGCAGCCAATTGATTCAAACATGTAAAGAGACAACAAGTGTGTAGCTTAAATTGTAACCTGAAGGCATCAGAACAAGGTATCATCAAATGCATCCTCAATACTCCAGGGGTTACGCTCACGCACTTGTATCTGTGGAACCATCCTCGACTCCCCAGGAGTTAGGTTCATATGTCATGAAAAAATCAAAGGCTTAGCGTGCATAACCTAGTTGAGGAGACAAGAACACTAGTTTGATCGTTTGATGTACATCAAAAGAATCTTGTGGTCGCTTAATGGTAAAATTGACTGGCTTTGAGGTCGGGTGTCACTCCTCTCGAGACCCATCAAATAGCTAGCTGTGTGCCTTCAATTTTGCTATGACATATTCCAGAGGTGCAGAGAGTGAAAGTGAGTGTAAACCTGAAGTATCGAGGATGCATCAAATGGTGACTTATATTTGGGAGATACCCTCGTTTTCAAAAAAACTGTCTATCAATAATACATACTGAGAATCATATAACCATTGTCCTATGACACACAACAGTACTAATAGAAAAAAGGTAAACAAACAAGAAAATAACAAAACAAAAAATCGTTTCATAATTATGTAGTTAATATAAATGTGCTAAATCGCATAAAGTTACATTTATATAAATTTATTACAATAGATACGTTTTAATTCATAGCATATAAAACATTCAAATTTAATCAACACACAAAAACATTATTTTTCTATTTACCTTAAAATCTGCCCAGTATAAAAAGATCCACAAAGTAGGTGAATGTGTGTAAAATATAATGATTTTTTTCAAAGTTTGAAGAGATTAATTGATACCAAAAGTAATACGTAAATTTCTATACAAAAAATCAGTTGTCACATCAAAGACAGATATCAAACAACACATGTAATCAGTTTGGCAATTTTTGCACATAAATGAACATGAATTTGCATAATAGGTTAATGCCAGCAACCAACAATTTAAGACTGATTTACAAATTTGTATAGCCCAACTCATTTCAAGGAAATACTCCCTTATAAATATTCAGGGATGACAGGCATATATTCAAAACTCAAGCACACCTTACCAAGCAATACCTTTAAGGTCAAACAAAATAATAAGTGTGTTTCCTGTAACATGTTTAAAAGATTTAGAGTATAAAGTTTGTAAACAAAATTGATGTGGTTTCTTTAGGAGAGTGATCTTGACTTTTAGTGTACTTCTTAAAAAAAATCCTAGAAAAGTTAGGGCCAGGTACACAAAATAAGAGTAGGTAGGGTTTTTAAAAACAAAACGTTTTTTGTTTGGCCTTACTATCCTCTTATGTGTGTGTATGTTTGTGCGCTGGAGTTTGTATCTAGGTGATCTGCTTGTTTTGGGTCCCTACTTCTAACAGCTCATATACCCACATTGTAGTGTATACAACTTGAATACTGTAACACAGAACTGTAACAACCAACCAACACCATATAATTAATATAATAATATACTCCACATTTGGCAGGCGATGATATAAGCAACAAAGGTAAAGTGTCTTGGAAAGACAACAACTTGCTGTGTGTGATTTGAACTTTTGACCTCTGGTCAAAAGGTCAATGCACTACTACCTGTGTTATTTGACCTGTTGAATATATGTACACAGTGGCAAGAAAGTACCTTTGATTATAATCTTTACTTATAATTATGTTTCCTTGTTTCATTCATTGTAAAACAAAACATCATATTCGTTTTTCATATTCTTCAGAGATTCATTTGCCCCCAGACATCAAATGTCTAATATCAGCAATTATCAAAAACAAAAAACAATAATCGGTTGTCAAAAAAATGTTTTCAAAGAAGAATTTTTGCTTACTTCAATTTTGATCATCAATACAAACTGTAATAACAACTAAATGGTACGTAAATAGAATAGAAATAAAAACTACATCAAACACCTGCACAAAATGTAGATCTTATTCCCTGCTTAGTGCCATCACATATCCAGAGTGAATTGCATGTACTATTTAATATCAGTTAAAAAAAAATCCACATGGTTTTAAATATACAGTGGATACACTTAGTTTCTTTGTATGATTGGTGCCCTTTTGTGTATAATTCATCAGGGATTTAGAATTAGTTGTTAAATTTGGAATCTCGAATTAATGCAGTATGGTATGCAAATATGAAATTTCAAATTCATTCAACACCTGAAAAAGAAAATATTGCATACCGTAACAAACATAGTAAGTATAAACCGTCATTTTTCATAATGAAATGTGTGATCATCGTCTAAAATGTGCTATTTACGATGAAAATCAGCTATGTTGAAGCAAATTAACTACTAATTTTTGAAAACCTCCTTATGCACCAACCAGGTAAATATTTGGCATGTTTGAACATTTAACAGTGCTCTGTTGTAGAAAGACATTTATGGTTTTCACAAGCAAGGCTTTCATTTCTGCATGCTAACTGTCCCAAAACACGATATTTTGGCTATTTCTGCATAGTAACGCTATTTTGTTGCTATAGTAGGGCATCTATGCAATAAGCGCAAAAAAAACCCTGCAACAGGAAAGATATCCACAATTAATGTATATGATGTTGTTTAAATAAATTGGTAAATACTGTAATTTTAAGTTGAAATATTTGCTTTTTATGAGACCCAATCAACATTTACAGTGACCGAACAGTAGGTATTGTCACAAGACTAATGACACTGAAGGCAGGTTTTTAAATTGATTGGCTCCTCCTCCCCTTTAAAGGGTTTCTGACTTGAGCAGGGTTATTACAATAGAATCAAAAGCAGATGTAGAAACATAATGATGTAAAACTTCCTACGAGAAATTACAAAGATGGGATCAACCATTTCACCCCTTTCATGATCAGATTGAAAACATAGATTGATTGAAAAACAAAAAAACAATGTGACTTCATTTCCAGTAAATTTGTTGTTCTATATACTGAAAAGCAATGTTAACATGTTGCAAGAATGCATTGCAAACATATCATTTACCATGTATTTGCCAACTTAAAATTGCAGGCTTGATTAGCAAAAATCCACTTGAATGAAAAATAAAAAAAAAAATAAAAAAAAAATCAAAATGAGGCTTTTAACAAAATACCTAATGATGTAAATTTTTGATGGTACGTTGCAATTCTTACATACTCTTCCATTTTGGGGTACAGCATTTGCATTTTAGCTCTTGGTTACTCATAAATGGTGATAAAAAAGCTCCAGAAAGAGCTTTTCCAAATAGTGAAAAAACTTTTCCTGCAAGCAAGTAAACAACATGCTTGTTGGAAAGGCCAGAGTGGTTTCTAATTACAGGTTTTAGGTCAGAGGTCAAAATATATGTCATAGTGACCTACTTTTGGTACACAGCAGTGTGTTTTCACTATTTGCACCCACATACTCTATGTTTGTTAATCATGCACAAAATATTACAGGATGAATGCTGCGGAATTGATTAGGACGGACGGATGAACAAATTTAAAGTTACATATAATATCCCTGACTCCAACCACATGTTAGCGCATTTAGTTTGTTTTTCTCATTTGCCATAGGAATCTGTGCTTAAACAAAGCAGGAGTATACTCAAAGACTTTACTTCACATAAAACACATTTTCATTGGCTACATCTACTAAGCATTTCCTATCATCAATAGTACATACAATAATTACAAAAATAAAAATTTGATTATGAATATTGGAATCCTGAGCATTTGTTTTATAACTTAATTTGGAAGAGTTAGAATTGAAATCTAAAGCAATGGTACCAAGGATAAGAAGTCCAATGAAGTCCTGTAGCATGAAATTTCTTTCTGCAATATTTTATCCAATCAATGTGTTACCCTGGTACAAAATACTAGCCGCTTCCTACCGACTCGGCTAGAGCCAATTTCTCTTAAGCTCATTTGGTAGAGCACAAGACTAGTAAGCCATAGGTTCCGGCTTTAACTCCTGGCGGAGACATTGACAAATATTTTCCACTGTTACACCCCGATTCTATCATTTGATATCTGATAATAACATTTATCTGAAAAGAGTATTTTTCTCTCTAAAAATAGAAAAATCCAAACTAGTTGACACTCTACTACGTTTGTTTTGTTTATTATCTTAATGTGCAGGTTGTTGATATCCTACTATTATCATTAAGTGCTGATTGGAAGATTTTAATATCACTCTAATTGTTTAAAATTTCTACTATTTTTATATAACATGATACACCATGCACCAAATTATGCAAGTTTTTAAGTTGAGTTTATATTATGTAGCACAGAAGTGTTGCTGCTTTACAGAACTGTGAAGCCTAATTTTCCAGAGTTAGAAGCCTTATCTCATCGGCCAGGACCTTGGTGATATGCATGGCTTGCTCCACTTCGTCACCGCCGATTAATTCCAGCGCAGCTTGGGCAGCCTCTCGCACGTGTGAGATGAAGTCATTCCGCCTAAAAGTCATACACTTATATATATAAAGAGTAAGCACTTAATTAAACTAAACTAATAAATTTAAATCAGCTTAATTGATCTCGTAAATTTTGATCATTTTCATATTTCATACTTTTAAGATTAAGTATTTCCTTAAAAGTGATGTCATTTAATACTTAATTTGATTAGTTAATATAAATTTTCACATGAATATAATTTATTAATCCTACCCAAACTAAAAGTACTCCTAATTTTATCTCCCAGGCCATCCTTTAAATAGCAGACTAGTGTTCACTCAAGAGAATGATTAATAATTAGTTACACATTCAACATCAGGTTCACTTTTTGTTCAAAGAAAAATTCATGAAATCCTTTCCTTTTTTTTTAATAACACAAAATTTTGTGTTGAATCCACTAAAAATGATCAGATTCAGCTCTCTTAATTAGAAAGTTTAATACAACCATGTCAGTGTCTACTAAATTCTACATAGTACATACCAAAGGCGGAGTAGAGCTGGGACGGCCTCCTTAGCTTTGATGTGACCCAGAGCTAAACACCCTGCCTCTCTCACCAGACGATCTTTGTCATTAAGACTCTTCATCAATCGCTTGATTGTTGACTTTTCAGAGTTACCAGTCTTGGCCAATGAGATGCTGGCCACTGCACGCACATTAGGGTCCTGGTTGTACATCAGATCGCGTAGGGACTCGATCACCCGAGGGCTCTGGAACTGCCCTGTTAAACCCAAATATACAAATACTAATCTAATAACAATCCGAAATTGTCTTGTGAAATGCAAAAATTAAACACATCATAACCTACATTATTTGTGACTAACCCATGAGCATTGTCCCCAATGTCAAATAGTTGATTTTAACGCATATTTCAAGCAGTTATTCAAGGTAATATTTGAAACGTTCAAATGCTTAAGCCGGATGTTTACCCTTTTTTTTTTTTTAAATATCCGGGTAATGGAGTTCTTGGGCTTGTTTTGTAAATCTCGAATGATTTCTGTGTATAAAATCACCAGGATGTACAAGTGTACTTTAATTTATCAGAACTCAGCTTTTACATATAAAAGTAGCATACCTAGATGATCAATGGCTTGTACTCTAACAGAGGAGTCCATTCCAAATACCTCGTGTATTGCAAACATTTCCTTGACAAACTCCTCAACACTCTCCCATAGGGAGAGGGTCTCTCCATACCGTACTGTGAAATCTGAAACAAAAGCAATCTAATCAAATCACAAACAAATCTGTATATCATTTATGTTTCTCATCTTCCTAAACATAAAGTTTCATATAAGATTCTCACCTTTAAAAAAACCCAAGTCAGATGGAAATTAGTCATAATATATATAGTTAAATCCAGTATAACATGATGTATAAATCTTGACGTATATATCTGAGGTATATATGATTGTCACTTGTAAATATAGAGCTGTCACCTATAATAGATCAATTTAAACCCACTTAATATGACAAAACTTTGCTAATGGAAGTATTAACATTTTTCTTTATGATTAACCCGTAGTTTATAAGTGAAAATTATAAATTAAACTCTTGTTATAGTAGTGTTAACTATACTTTGCACTACCAGCCGATAAGCATGTTTACCTGTTAATTGCACATACATGCTCAACCAGACAAATGAAAGGCATACAGAAATTTTTATTTTTTCGCAGACTCGTGTTTCATCAGCTTCACATCAGCATGCTTAACGTGGTACAATAAACTTCAGATGCGATAACAAAATCAAAGCACAGGACATTACAATATTCACACATATGAACAAATTGTACAACACTAGTCTTGTCCAAGTCGTTACATGTCCAACACAAACAAAACTTCTGGAGGAAAACTACAACTGTGAAAAAATAAACAAGAGGCCCAGATGGCCTGTATCGCTCACTTGGAAATGTTAGCAAAATTGAGGTTGGAATAGCTAGATGTTGCTGGTAGTGTATATGTATTACATGGCTAGTCAGGGGTTATATTTATATGCAATTTGACAAAATCCTGTCATTTCTACAGGAAAAGGAGGATTTTGAAGAATATGCTATGTTTCCCCTATTGGGCCCCATCCTCTGGCCCCAGGGGGTCAGACCCACTGTTGATGCAAAATATGTTCCTCTTCACATAAGGATGCTCCACACCAAATATGGACCAAATCCTTTCTTTCATACGGAAGAAGGATTTTAAAGAATTTGCTATATTTCCCCTATTGGGCCCTGCCCATCAGGCCCCTGGGGAGCAAGACCCCTCGTTTATACAAAGTTGGTTCCCCTTCACCCAAGGATACTCCACACCAAATATGGACCAAATCCTTTCATTCCTACAGAAGAAGAAGGATTTGAAAGAATTTGCTATATTTCTCCTATTTGGCCCCTCAGCTCATGATCAGGCCCCTCTGAGGCCAGACCCACCATTTATACAAAAGGATGTTCCACACCAAATATGGACCAAATCCTTTCATTCCTAAAGAAGAAGGATTTTGAAGAAGAATTGGCTATATTCACCCTATTTGGAGCCGCTCCGCAGGCCCCTGGGGGGCTAGAACCACGGTTTATACAAAATTGGTTCCCCTTCACCTAAGGATACTCCACACCAAATATGGACCAAATCCTTTCATTCCTACAGAAGGAGAAGGATTTTAAAGAATAATTTGCTATCATTCCCCTATTTGGCCCTGCCCCTCAGGCCCCTGGGAAGCCAGACCCACCGTGTATACAAAATTGGTTTCTCTTCACCAAATATGGACCAAATCCTTTTATTCCTACAGACCAGGTGATCTAAAAATGATACTATTGCTTAATGTTGTCAACCCCTGTCAGTCAAAGTAAAACAAATTGCGGGGGTATTGAAATTTATTACATTCTTGGTCTTGTTGACACGTCAGAAGGCAGACAGCTACATATACACTCCGATAGGTACTGTCCGACCAGACCTGTTTGAGTACTCTGGTAATATCATAACAGCCCTATTTAAAATTACAGGTTTGGTTTGGTTTATTTTGTTTAATGCCCTATTAACAGCTTAGGTCATTTAAGGATGTGTCTCCATGTGTGTTGTGCATGTGTGCCGGAGACTTGTTATATTCGCCTCCTTGTGAAAGCGTGAATCTGATGCCAACTTTAAAGTGCTACCTTCCTGAAATGCCATGCCAAAGGCACCCAGCAAGCATTCGGCCCGATCATATTATACTGACAAGGGGTGAACAAGTTGTTGCAATTCCCCTTAATGCTGAACGTTAAGCAGGGAATAACAACTACCATTTTTAAGGACTTTGGTATGTCCTGGCCTGGGGACAGAACCCATTGCCTCCCTCACCTAGGCGAATGCTCAACATTAAGGCCAAAAGTGAGGTATTACCAAGCGAGGCGCTAGGAAATAAAAGGTAGTTAGAAGTAGGAGGAAATATAAGAATCCTAAATATTGCAATAGGTGCAGTAGATTGCAACAGCCCTACAGTAGGTATAACATTACACGTAGGTTAATTAACACCAGTTACAGTACCTACCTATGAGGCTTTCCTTTAACAGCATATCCACAGAGACCTCATCATTCAGCAGTTCTAACTCCTCCTTCCAGTTTCTCCAAAGGAAATCTTGTTCTTGAGTTTCGGTAAAAAGATTGGTAATCTCTTTGTGAAAATACTTAGAAAAATCCTTCTTGAACCTGAAGAAAAGATAATGTTGTAATTTTGTTAAATCATATCTGTAAACTCCACAACAGTAACTAATACACATTTAGACCACATTATTTGGTCAGTTTACAGAGATTTCTAGATTGTATAGTGTCTATACTTTTAATGAATGTAACTGTCAGAATCTTATTACTACATTGGTTTTAGACAAAATCCTGGATTGGACAGAGAGTTATGTTAATTACACAATCTCACAAATGATAATATTTCCCTGACATTTATTAACAAACATACATTGTACTTGTATGTATACTGTGCCAGCTTAATTAATACCAGTACATGTATTTGAATAACTGAAATAAATATATATTTAACACAATAGTTTCCATTTTTATGATAATTCCAGTCTGAACTTTCTTTTACGAACCTTTCCCATCCTACCATGTCCTCTTTAGAAAAGTGTCTTTTCCAGAATTCGTCTGCCTGTTCTTGTGTCTTTGTGTCTTTCTTTTTGCTTTTACTTGTCTGTCGGCCGAGTGTACCTTTACCACTGACATCACATTTCTCATCTACAATTAATATTGTCAAGTAATTCTTGCTGCTATCAATTTATGAAATTGCTTTTCTGAAACCTTTTTTCACAAAAGAAATATTCTCTTTCAAAATCAGTTTTGATATCAATTCCAGTTACAATGTGATTCAATAACTTAAATTCTGTGCTATTTTGAATAAGAATGAATTCTAATGAAGTTATTATTTTTACTGTTTCTTTAGAAGTTGTGATTCAATACTAGTGATTCTAGCCATATGCGGATACAGTTAAAACTCCCTATACTGCCATTATGCTGAGTGGAATTATTGCGTTATAAATAGAATTTGGTGATAAACTGAGGGAAACTTATAAAGGAATTTTCAAGAAAAGAGGAAAATGGGAACTTGAAATATGTTGGCAGAAAGTGAGGTGGCGAATGGATGAAATGGGTTATATCGAGGTTAAAATGTACATGGTCATAGTACAAGGTCATAACTTTGTACGCCAGTGTTATTTTGATATAATAATATACAACATTTGTATAGCGCCCTATATAATTTGTAAAATTACTATAAAGTGCTTTACAACATATGGATAATAGTATTAGTTATAACTGTTAAACAAAATAGGCTTACAATCACCATTATACATTAAGCAAGAAGATACTCATCTCAATGTGCACATAAATGAATAAATAAAGGGTGGTATGTCTTGACGTATCTGTAAAGAGCCGAAAATGCAGACTTGAAGAGGTGATTTTTATGTCCTTCTTGAATTGCCCATGGTATTTGACCTTGTAATAGCAGATGGTAAGCTATTCCACAACGTGACTGAAACCCTCCCAAAGCACCGGTTTACAGGTATTTTCATCTGACATTGGTATAGTCAAGAAACCTGTTTTTAAAATAAATTGACTTTAAATGACAGCAATAAAGTTCATGAAAACTGAAGAAAAATTTAACTGTCATCCAAATGTATGGTTTAAAGCATTTACAAAATGTACCTGTTTTGCGTGCCTCTAGCTCTGTTTTCATTCGTGCTAGTAATTCTGCAAAATCATCCTCAAACTTTTCAGACTCAAGAGAGAATGACCATTCAATGGCAGCAAGCTGTAATTTCCTGTAAATTCAAAAACCCAGGTAATTGCAAAACTATAGGGATGTCCAGGTAGATTAAGTTGATACGATCATTGATTTTTTGAGGATAAATACAAATAATTTCTCTGTATGAAATAATGATACAGTACTGATCATGATAAAGTGATAGAATTCTTCAATTCTGATAAAGTGATAGAATTCTTCAATTCATGAATATCTTTGGTTTTTATATTGATCTTAAAAGGTTTTAACAAATCAGCACAGCTGGAGGAAAAAGAGTAAATTTAGAAACTACTTGTAAATGACTCTATACTGGAAGGAAATCTCAGGATAATATTTTTTTTTATATATCAGAACACCATGTAATAAATCTACATAATGTATTGGTGTAATTTTCCATTGGTTATGTATAACATATACAGACAATTATTGTTCAAATAGTGGATAACACTTGTCTGTTAAAGGTGTTATTCACGTTTACCAATGTGTGACACACACATATATATATAATGAAATATAAAAAAGAATTGATGTACAATGTACAAGTACTATAATCTTTACTACATGTCGTTAAACGTTTTTAGAAGTTTGATGCAGTTTCTATTTAATATAATGTAGAAAGATAAATTACAAGTTTGATGTTACAGTTTCAGAAAAAGATAACAAACTATAGTCTGTCAAAAATTCAAGTGCAAACAATGACATCAATTTTCATCTTTAAGTCTCTTTTAAAATCCCTTCAAATGCTCAATGATAAAAGGTTAAATGTGATTAATTTATCGCCAGAACAAGAAATTTGGCACATAATCTGAGTTTGAGCATGAGAACGGTGTTATAAAATAGGCCCAGATAATTTCACTCACATTCCTGTCCCCATGCTGGTGTAGAGCTCCTGTTGTGTATTGATGGCGAATGGGAATATTGGTTTCTGTGAAATATAGGCCAACGCTACCTCATCCTGGCAATACTTCGACTTGACAGAGGAAGTACTCAGCAACGATATAAATAACTGCACGGTAAAGAAAAACAAATCAGATCAAGAGGCAATTAATGGAACAATTCAATAAATGTCAAGTCAAAGCAATCCATATATAGACAGGTTTGGTTTAGTTCATTTGTGTTTTATGCCCTATTAATTATAACAGCTATGGTCATTTAAGGATGTGCCAGGTTTTGATGGTGGAGGAAAGCTTGAGTTCCCGGAGAAAAAAAAACAACCAACGGCCAGTACCTATAGTGACTGCCCCACGTAGCTAGGTCTCTAACCTGCAACCAAGTGGTGGAGGGCTAGTGGTAGCAGAATTCAGATGCCTTATATATAACCACTTGGCCACCGCGGCTCGTTAATAGACAGGTAATGCTTTAAATGTAGAATTCATATATATTGCAGTGAAACTCTTAAAACGCTACGGAGTTTTCCATAACCATTTGATATATGTTTAGATATGTATAATAAAACAGATCATGTGAAGTTGGTAAGTATAGAAAAAATAAGATCTAACGCCCAACTAGAAAATAGTTGGTCGTTAGATTTTTTATTTATATAAGTAAACTTACTTTGGCATCAAGAATAGCTTGTCCAATTTTGCCAAGGAAATCTACACCTGCTTGTAACCCTGCAACATCGACCCAAACTGTGATGTCATTTTCCTCCAGCTTCTCTGTGAAAAAAAGTACACAATGCATGTTCTGTCAATAATAACTCAACACTTCTAATACAATGACTTACAATTATCTTTAATGTATCTGTTGGATGTTTTTAACTTTGTAAATTCTACCATTTTTAGAAAATATTTTCCCTGTGACAATAAATTGTGATAAATTATCAATGCTGTCCTTCTGTATTGCAACAATTATACACTACAAAACACACTAGGTATAACATGACACCTCTAATAAATAAACTTATCATTTTTTCCCCTCTGGTTTAAAACTAATATCTTTATAAATTGAAGAGGCTTTGGTGAAATTTTTGAGTTTTTAAAAATATGGAAATTAAACGAAACCTGTCCTTATCTATTGCTTTACTTCAAATTCTCATCGTTTCGTACAAGGTTTTGTTACCTCTGAGTTTTGCCATGATCTCCTTGTCCTGGTGACTGTAGCTAATCATCACATCCTTCGGACTATCACTGGATGCCTTGTCGAGGGGCGGTTCCACCTTCTGGCTCCCTTCTCCTTTATTAACATCTTTGCCCTTCTTCACATGATTTACAGCCGATGTACTTGTATTTTGTTTGGCTCTAGGAGTGCTTGGTTTAGAACCCATTGGATTACCCTGTAAACAAAGGAATTATTTAATTTTTTGAGATATATATATATATATATATATATAAAATGCAAATATTGACAAAGGCCTCTTATAATCTCTTGCCTCCTAGATTTCCTCCAACATATATCCAGTCCAACAATTATCTATACATCCCCTCAATAACTTCTTTAAGGTACAAAACTTTCGCTGAACAAATTGTAGAATTATAAATCAATATAACATGGTTCAGAATGAATGAATGCTCCAAATGCCGTGTCATATTTTCGCCATGCCTGCCATCAACATTTTCCCCACACAGGTACTTCAGCCTCATCTCTCAATACTAGTACATATGTGACATTTCCCCTATGGTCTGTACCATTTACACTGGAAATTTCGGCGAGTATACCTACCCCAACAGGAGTGTATCAGTATTCTAATATAGATGCAAATATATACATATAAGTTAATCTAGCTCTAAAACATTGCATTTGTCCGATACATCACTGCTTGTGATCATGTACGTCTTGTACTAACAAATATATAAAGGGGATATATACAAAGCAGTATCAATGTACCAGTATATGAAAAATAACTATGTATAGAACAATAAAACACCTAATACTAATCAAACTGACTGCTCCTACTACTGATCGCTCAGAGCGTGCATATATACACACACACAGACGGTCCCTCACTGACCGCCACAGCAACACACAGGGTATTGACCACCTGTACTGGTGATAGCTCAGTACTTACACGGTCGATGATAGCTCGGCATCCTACCTGTACAGATATACTGTACAATCTGTAGAACTCCTCTTGCTAACCTTGAGTTATCCTGACCACTCGGTGATCCCTATAACAATCTAACGAGCTCTCACAGTGCAGTCTTGATACATCAATGTAGCGGACCCGAAGCAACACGCTAGCTTGCCCTTGTAAGGTATGATACTTTCGGTTGAGCGATCGAAATGGGTAACAGTCTTATTCAGACATACCCCATCATTGAAAGCTCGCTCTCTAGTATACTTACAACTACCTAGTAATGGTCTGCTCTGCTGTATCATCCAACACAGAATAGCGATTCAACCTGGCCGTGGCTGAAAGGCGATGCACGTGCGTTTTGGCCACCTTATATACCCATAGGCCCAGCCCTACCTGTCAATCACTAGGAGATTGTCCGTATTATCTATATGTTTTGACTGGGACTGGGTCAACCCCAGCTCTACTCTAGTGTGTAAATAACATCAAGAATGCATGGAAACACGCCGGTTTAGAAATAAAAATAACTAGCTCTTCAGGTTTTCATCACACATTCATTTTCATTTTTTGACAGACGAGGCTTATGTACCTGTGATTTTACCCCAAGTAGTACAAGTACACATTGGCAAGGGATACCTGAACCTGAAATGAACACATCTCTAGGGTGATTAAGACCTAAAAAAAAGGGAGTATGAGAGAATGGTTAGAATAGAGTCTAGATTTTGGAGGTTCCAGGTTCGAATAATACATGTAGAGGTTGTTTCGCCCGAAATCCAGTTCGCCCTAGGTTGTTTCGACCCGAAACAAAATTTTAGGGCGAAACGTTGTTTGGTATTTTCTTTCAATTTTAGTAGTTTTAAGTCACAAATTAAGTATTCTTAGTCTTCTATATCATTTAAATCAATTTCATAAAAAAAAATGTGTTTGTCTTGTTTTTAAGCGAGTGTGACAAACGGCAGTTGTGAAAAGCTGGCTCCGCTCTCACATACTCTACATTAAATATACCTAACACCAATGTAGAAATTAAGTCATCAATAAGTTTAGTTGATATATTTAAAAATTAATCATTATATTAGCGTATATTTTTTTTTAATATTTTGGGCGAAACAACCTAGGGCGAACGGGATTTAGGGCGAAACAACCCGTTACCCATGTATTAAGCTGCAGTGCGCAATTCCATTTTCCTTCTCATGTTATAATTTAATCAAACAAAAAATGCAGAAGTATGCTAACCAGGGCCCAGTTTTTCAAAAGGTGATTAGCACAAATTTCATTTTTGGTGTATCTTCAAAACAAGACCATTGAAATAGTTACAACTTTTCAGATAGCAAATATTAAGTCGAGTGAAATTACATGCAAAATTGTGAGATTATACCTGGTAAATTATTAAAGGTTGAAAAATGTCGTTAAACAGTGAATAAGCTAATCACCTTTTGAACAACTGGGCCTTGGTCGGTATCCGGTTTCAGACACTGATGGCGTAAAATGGATTGCGAAATTTAATTTAATACCAATGGAAATTAAATCTTCTCACTGTTTTGGTATGGAAAATCTGAACTTTTCATATCTTTCTGAAGCTGAACGATAAATTGCGTATCCGTATGAATAGGCTGATCATAAGCCAAGACATCTCGGTTCCCTGCAGAGAAACTGTTAGTGTTTGTGATAGATACTAGATAGGAGTAAGCACAGTACATATCACACAAATCACAAGATGATATTCATTATTCTTTCAGTGAAAAGTTTTTGCCACTTACTAGTTAACTTCCACTAACCTCTTATCTTCACCACTGTTGTTCAGTGTATGGATGTTTCTATACGTGAAATGCAGTTAAATACATTTTATTGCTTGAACGCTGTTTTCGCATCCTCCTTGATACTTTGTTTTCCTTGGATATCCGATCGTTTTTACCACTTCCGGTTTTAGTAAATCAGAGTTATGTCCCCTACAGACACGTAAATGCTTCCTGCAAAGTCGCTCGCCTGAAGATATTGGAAAGATTTCCCATGAGAATCATGGATGGAGGTCGCATTTATATGAATAATGCTTTCTTCCACCAGAATCACATTTCCAGTTTCATGGTTTAATGTCGCCAGAATTATTGCAACTATTTTGGTTTGTCAAAGTTCACTGCAACTAATTCAAGCAACTCATCATCATCATCAAAGTGAAACTGAAACTCCAAGTTCTGTCAAAAGTTTTGGCAGGCTAGATCAACTGACAATCCAGGTAACCGTCCGCGTGTATCTGTCAGTTTAAATAGTCCACATATATACATGTACTCAGTGCATAAACATATTTAAGACAAAATTAGAAATTTAGAAATATACCTATATATGAGTGTCCATTAAAATGTTTAATTGTAGAAGAATGAATGTTGGGGCAGAAGAGATTTTAAAAAATATATTAAAATCCTTATATGCAAGGATAAAATAAATGTATTGATTATCAAAAAGTGAATTGACTCTCTGATGAGACCAAATTGTAATGTTACTTTTAGATGACTTAATTGTTACCCTGTGATTTGAAAATTTTTCTGACTAATGAAATTGATAATGAAAAATATTATATTCATTTTTTTATTTCAGAATTTTGATAAAAGCCTTCACCATGAAGACAGTGAGGTACAAGATCGTTTCAGTCCAATATCCCTTGTCAGGAAAAAAAAAACTCATATCTCAAGACAAGAAGACGTCGTTAACCCAAATATTCCTGACCGGACATATAGATATTTCAGCAATCAACATCATTACTTCACTATAAAAACAATTGGATCAGAAGATGGTACCACTATTGTTGACACGTGGAAAGGAAATTGTCCAAATTTTATGCCAGTAATGATAAAGCCATTTAATATATCTACCCCAATTTTTGGATCAAGAGAGAAAATAATTAAAGTTGTTTTACGCAAAAGAAAAGAACGGACGAACAAAAATGTTTGCATTAAGAACACATGCTGTATTTTTCCAAATGTTGTTTCAATGCAGCTGTTGATAGCATGGTTCGTAAAAGGTTATGAGTTTTTCAGCTCAGATAATTTATGTTGTAAAATATCGGTGCTATGTTTAGATGAAGGTTTGGCTACACATATCATTGGACATGACTTGGATGTTTATATCAAAGCTGTGGACAAAATTAAATCAGAAGGGGAACTTGGACACATAACACTTAATCTTTATAATTTACATGAAAAGGTTGACAATGATTTTAATTACTCCAGTATGAGGAATAACTCCAGTATGAGGAATAGGCGGGACATATCCAGCTTTAATTCTAGCAGAGATTTCAACACAACGAAGACTTTTCATCAAATTTCAATACAGAAGTAAGTTTGTAGTAAGTTTTGGTTGATACAAAAACTGTCAAAAAAAAATCTTTTTAAAACCGCTTGTTTGATATTTGTGTTTTTTATGAATCCATTCACAGCACGTGATCTGTGTTTCTTGGTAGCATTATGAAACAATAGTTATCAAAGTACTGCCAACGACTCATTAAAATGTATTTTTTTCTTAAAAAAACCTTTTCAGTTTAGTTCAGATCATAATAAAGTATTCTTTCTCGAGTAAAAATAAAGTAAAAGTGATGTTGAATACAACCTTTAAGTTGGATACTCAGAATTTAAAAATTAAGTATTCAAAAATGATGTAATGAAAACTACTCATAATGGTATATGTAAGTGATAAATATTTTAAAGATAACAGCATTGATTACAATTTTTTTTCTTGGTTTCAGCAACGTAGATGCCAGTTGGGGCATGGTGTGTGTGTTTAGTGTGGTGATGCTTGTGATCGTTGTCGGCTGCGGCTTCAAGATGTTTGACATGAAGCAGAATACTAAAGTACATTTTTCCTACCATGATGGTATTCATCTTATGTATGTGAATGGTAAGGTATATTTTCATTTCATTTTTTTTTATACACAGCTTTTCAAAATTGTATTATATTGTGGCAGGTTTTAATTGTACTTAGGTTACGGTCGCATTTTAGCTTCAAGCTAGAGGGAATTTCCCATAAGCTCAGTGGTAGAGCGTCCGACTAGGAACCACGGGATCACCGGTGGAAGCACACTGCTCTCTTTCCTGTTACAGTATTTATTGAATATACAAAAAAGATAATTTACTGGGAAGTATTCATTCTAATATTTGTATAAGAAATATTGAACAATTGCATGGATTTAAAAATAATGTTAGGTGCTGTCATTCAGTCTTTTGCATTAATTTTCATCAGTCTGAATGATTGAAAACACCACACTTTTCTATGATATTTTTCTGTGATGTATTTATAGATCTGATACGTAGGAAAGCAAGACTTTTGCCAATGTTCCGGTCTGCATGGCGACAGAATGACGAAGAAATACTATTTCAGCGAGGAAGAAAAGATCCGGTGCCTCTGGCATCTGTAGTTGAGGAGGATGAGGAGGTCCAAATAGAGAATTATAATGAGGATGAACAGTATTTAGATTTATAGAAGCAGACTATTCATACAAATAGTGATAGAATGAATTTCAAAGTTACATGTGAAATACATGTAGTTTAGGGATCCCTGTCCCACTGGGGTTTTCCTATATGCAGTTACCTCCCCTTAACTTCTGTTTAGATGTAAGTGTAGAACAATTATGCCAGGCCACTTCCTTTGACCAGGTAGCTCAATCAGAGCAATACTTTAGCAGTCTGAATTTCATGGTTTGATTATGCTCTAGTTCTGTGGTGTTTCACTCGGATCGAGTGTTGTTGATTATAATTTGTTTATTTCATCTTTATTATTTCTCATGAAAGTACTGCAAGGTGTGGTTTTCTCTTCAGAAACGGTTTATCAAAGCTATAGTCATGCTAAAAAAAAAAATTGATTATTTGATTAATTACTTAATTATAGTTATTGGTGATGCTACGGGGATCCTAAATACTATCCTTTAGACCTACTTACTAATCTTATATTTTTGGATAGACCTGAAGGTTTAACAAATGTTACCTGGTATATTTAGTAAATATGAATATCCTTAAGTTTAAACATAGCATGCACTAACTTTATGTAATAAATTTACAAAGGTTTCTCATCATCCATAACTGTAGTAACTATATTTTTGTCCACAATATGAGATAAATACAGTGACAGACTTGTATGTTAGAAAGACCATTACATGTGTAACAGGAGAGGAAAAATGCACGGTCAGACTGGGGTTTGAACCCAGGACCTTCCGAACTGTAGATGGACGCTCAACCAATTGAGCTATCTGGTCGCCGACGATTGACCCAGTCTAGTTCCGCTACATTCCTCCCACCTTTAACAAAGTCTTCAACCCCGAAGACACACGAGACCCTATACCACCTTCTGTGAGAATATTTCGTTGGGCGCCAAATGTAACAGGAGAGGAAAATGCCAGATCAGGGTTTGAACCCGGAACCCTCCGAACTTGAGACGGCCGCTCAACCAATTGAGGTTTCTGGTCGCCGACAATCAACCCAGTTCAGTTCCGCTCGCATGTAATATAAGGTTTTACATTTTAATTGATTGCCAAGCTGAAATATTTACAAGTCAACATATACAGTCATCTGTGAAGTAGATTTTGGTACATTCAGCAATAAATTATCCTTTTGAAAGTGATTTTCCTTGCATGACTAATTAAAAGAGGTTTATTTGAGAAGTTGTATATCAGGAGGGATTTCAGGGGTTTTTAACCCATGACGTTGAGCTATTTCAGAAGTCATATAACCATCATTATGATATCTGAAGGGTCATTAGAAATGTAAAAAAAACATATCTTTTAAAACCTGAAACTCAAAGCTCAGTTTGGTGACTCAAAACATATTCTTAATGGTCTAATATAAGCCCTGGTGTCAACATTAAGCAATTTGCCATTTCAGATGCATTAATGATACTCAATCTTCATTTTTATGCATTGATCTCAATAGTCCGGCTATTTGAATAGTATTTATAGTGTCAATACTTCTAGTTCAGTAGAACTATGAACTTCAAGATAGAATAGAGGGAACTTTTTTTATTTTTTTTTATTTTTTGGTGTATATTGGTTATAGGAGGCCAAGAAATAAGTTGTAGTTTATAACTTGGACTTGATTTAAAACACATTTATTGTGTTACAGCATTGTTTTCTTTGATTGACCGTTGAGACATTGTATTGGCCTCCGTCAGTGTGATTTCTGTCGGAGGTACATCTATGACGTTTGTTAATAATGTTAGTTTCTTTATTGCCTCATTATTAAACTAGGAAAATTGTTATAAACTGCCTTTTTTATATGCTATACTTGTACCTGCATCTAGCTTCAATTTTTTTTACATATCACTTTCAAAATCGGTATTTGCACAGAGATTATCCAACTTGGATGCATTGCCATTTGAATTGTCTATAAGTGATGATGAAACAATTATCAGTGTACATGCACCTAGTATTACATTTCATCATACTTTCCGGTTTTGATGTATTACATTTTAACATATGATCATAGGATATGTACTGTTTGTAGTTGCAATGTTATTGCCCCTCTTTCGTATGCACATCAAGTCAAATGAAATGCCTATGATGTTGAAACATTGTTGGAAGTTGATTGTGTTTTCGATTTTTCTGTCATTGAAAACTGGAATTACTCAGATTTCATTTAAAGCATAGGTTTGGGCTTTACAGTTTAGTTACAATTAAATCTTTAAATTTACCGATCTCGGCAATCTTGTAGATGTGTTGTCGCAAAGTTGTATTATCAGTACCATGGTCATGCATTTTTTAAAACTAAATATCTCTCATCATAAGAAATGTTTAAAACTTTATTTATCAGTTCGGATGTTTTCGGTACAATTTTTCCTTGTTAATCAATATTTTATTTATAGCTGTTCAGTTCTTCCTTGTTAATTGTGTGTGACTGTGGAAGTTTTCCATTCCTATCATATTAATTGTTAATTTCATCTTCTTCTTTTTTCATAAAAGTCCCACAAAGTATGGTTTTCTTTTCAGAAATTGATTACCGGTATCGGTATCAAAGCTTTTGCATTGCCAGGCCAGAAAAGACAGTTACCAATACTTAGTTACAATTTTTGACCGTGATATATGGGGATCACAGCCAAACCAGAAACTTTGTTATTTTATTTTTTTCTTCGGTGCTAAATTAAAATTCATTCTATACATGTAAATGTTAAATGCTTGGCTTTCACTCATTATTTCTTTTACAGTGAGGGTTTTTTATTCATTGCATAGAAACATTTTTTGCAATTTCACTCGTTTTCAATTTTTGTTAATGATTTATGACATGAATAGTTTATAGATACATGATTATGTATTAAATTAATTGCTGGTGAAAAATATTCTTTATTTCCTGAATGGTTGTCAAGGTGTTATGACTTGTTAGGTATTTATTCTCAGTCGATCATTACCATTTGTTTCTTATAGAAAACTCAAATATTCTGTATTCTTATTTAAATAGATGTCTCTAGCTCAGGGTTCTATTAGTGTAACGTGGAGAGACTGCCCTTATAAATGATACTGGTTTTTATGTACATTATGTACACTGTACATAATATACATTGAATTCGGTTACCATACATGTACTGCCTGTATGTGATTGTTCTTAAGATGTTTTGTGTATATAGGTCTATGTGTACGTATAAAGTTTTAGTATATTACATACAAAACGCATGCACACTTTATGAATCAAGTAAAATAGAGTTATCTCCCATTTATTTTAATTTTATATTAATTATCATTATAACTTAGTATTATTTATTTTTTATTTTTTTTGTCTTCCTTTAAAATGCCTCATCAGTCAAACAAGTCCTAAAAGCATTATTAAAACATTATTGAAACATTATTAAAAAACAAGATTTTATAGATTTTTTTTTACTGTGGAACTTTTTGTAATGGAGATGCATTAACAGATAAGGTAGCATGTATCCTAACTGTTTGATTCCCAGTTTCATACATTACTACGTACCTGGTACATGTAAGCCAGCCTGATTTTGTATATACTCTATAAGTAAAAATGTGTTGCAAACAAGCAAGCAAATCTCTTGTTTTGTAATAACATGTAATACATTCTCCCTGTGTCGGGAACAGTGGGTTCACTTACCAGTAAGTTTTGCTTGTATCTTGCAAAACATTGTCTGATGAAATCACCAAGTATGCTATGTGATGGTGTATTGATTTCATATTTTAACATTTTTTATTTCTTCTTCTCCAAAAAAATGGATGGACAAAAGAAAAAAAAGTCAATCATATTGTTCTTGTTTCTGATCATGATTATCTGATTGCAATTTTTGAGAAACATCTGAAAAGTTTGAATATTTTTCGTAATGACTTGTCTTTAGAGTATTATTTTGAAACTATAATGTATAATTTTATGTTTGAAACTTCTTCTCGAAATGTTTTCTAGATTTAAATTTCTTGATGTGTTGATGTTCAGGTAATCAGGCTATGAGCAGCTTGGTCCTGGTGTAGGGACTAAGTACAGAGGGGATTATCAAGCGAATCAATGTTGGGACTACATTAAATGTATTTGATAAAATTATTGTTTTTCACACAAAAGGTTTGTACTTATTTACGTTTAATTTTGGGATCTTGAAGGTGATATTTACATGGAGGGCCACCAAGTGACATACTGTATACAGGGTAATTCTCAAGGCAGTGTTATTTTCGCGCTTTTTGCGGAAGGAATAGGATTCAACCGCGAATTCAAGAATGTAGTGAAAACTTCCAGCTCCTGGCAATATTGTAAGGTATGGTCCGAGACTAAAGAGGAAGTAATACAAGGTACAACATGACATGGCTCTTTATTGACAAATATCATCATGAATTATAACATTAAAGAGTATAAAAATTCCATTCCTGTCGCGTTATAATCACAGCTTATTACTGAGAATGTGCCACATTTTCGAGTCGGTTTCAACTAATCAAACATATGTCCACAGAACGACAAGTCTATTTTTAGGTAACACCTATGGTTACTCGTCACAAATTATTTCATTCTACTGACGTGCTAATATACTGATAGCACAAGAAATGTAAAAATAACAGACACCGACCAACCTGTTTTACACAATCTTTACACTGTGCAAATTTTAATTTCCTGATGAAATGTGAAAATAACACTGCCCAAATTCAAAGCTGTATACAGTAATATGTATGTCTTTTGGCCATCTTAGCATTTGATTAAATAATAATAATATTGTTATTGTACCCCTACAACAGAGGTAGGGAGATCAGACATACTGGAATACCAGGCTGTTCATTTATTTGTCACTACTTTTTCCTGCTCTTCTTGATACTGCTTTTTATCTTATGAAATGACACATATTTATGATCTGTGCATGTTGTGACCGCCATGATGCTTCCAGTTTCCACCGATATGAAAAGTGTTGGTTACTTATATTAGCCGAAGAAACCCTTTCCTAGTTCACCACTGAAGTATAAGGTTGATTTAAATGAAGTTATGCTAGCATTTTACTTAATATATCAAAATTTGTATGTGAGGGGGTCATATTGTTCCATTATATTTCTAAACCCTTTCAGCTAACACAATATATCCAATTGCCTGTTGACAGTTTCTGACAATCCCCTCCTCCTTTACTTCAAGGATTAATTTGGAATTTGTACATGTTAGCCTTCATATACAGGTAACCCTGTTTCAGGTAGGCTTTGTTAAGAGTTACGACCCTTGATTTTACTTTGCCTTACAAAGCTTTAAGTCTACACCTTTTACAGTATAAGATGTATTTCAACAGAATTTTGCAAACATATTAATTTCCTGTGATATGAACTTACATATGCATGTCATCTTATTTTTTAAATATGACCCGTTATGTAATAAACTTACACATGGATGCACATGCATTCCTTTGTGTGAAGTAAGTGTCAGACAAAATTGACATTAAAGAAATATTACATTCCAATATTTTCTGAAAACACAGATAGGGAGAATATTCATGGCTAGTGTATGCAGTAAGAGTCTTTTATTTATGTAGTTGTATATTCTGTCACTCAGAACAAATCAGGTATCCAATTGTTAGTCTCCCAAGGAGAAATGTGTTAGAACTATTTAGCTGTGAAAGGTATGTACTTGTGCTGTCAATATTACAAGGAGTAGAATTTGTAAGAAAGATAATGGAAATGTTCCTAACTGAAGACGCCGCTAATTTGGTCTTTATATGATTTTTTTTTCAATCGATAACATGATATTTTGTTAAAAAAAGGAAAAGCTTATTTTACTAGTTCACACCCTCCCTTCACTGGAAGAAAACAATATGCGAGTGATGGTGTTTTTCCTTTCACTTTGATGTTCTGTGTTTTTC